CTTTGTCAATTTAAAAAGCAGAGAAGTGTATTTCTTATTTCTCTCTTGAAAAATATTGACATGTTCTCATTCCTATTTGTGCGTAGTTGACATTGGCTACAGTTTTTAAAAGTTAACTGGTTGATTTAAAATGTTTTACATATGTTTTAGAATGAAGAAATTAAAAAGAAGCTTCCAGGTTAGAGCTTACAAACTACGTCCCCCATACTGCTAGGTGCAAAGCTTTGTTCCCTCAAAAATGAAAAGTCAAGTTAGTTATCAACATCACTATGTATTTTTTCTTTCTGTGTTGGTGTTTTAAGTCCTAGAGATCACGCGGTATGCTGTACCGGAAGTCTGGTTGAATGGATGCAATGACAGATCTGGGGAAGACAGGCAAAGGCGTGTGACTGGGGTGAGGGCAATGGGGTATCCTGCCTTCAACCCTTGATGGGATTCAGGTTTAAGGTCAACAACATGCACTAAAAGTCAGTCCTGTTTGCCCCTCGAGTCTCCAACCTTTTATACCTGCCTTCATGTTGGAAAAGGCTGACTTTGATGATCAACAGGGTCCCTCATGCCCTGGCTTCTGTTGAGTTTGGCCATCAGAGGTCAGGATGAAGGAAGTTGGGTATTTATTTCCCTGGCTGGTAGCTCCCCTTGGCCTAGCTGAGTCCCGGGACTAAGGGCTGCAGCTCCTGTCCAGGGTCTGTCTAACTTGTCTAGTGCTATCATATAGAAATACCACAAGGGTGGCTTTAACGAACAGAAATGTATTTTCTCAAAGTTTAGGGGGTTAGAAGCCAGAATTCAGGGCACAGCGTGCTCTGTCAGCTTTAGGGGAAGTCCTTGCCTCTTCAGCTTCTGTCTCCTGGTTCCCGGGAGACCTCCATGTGGCTTGGCATCTCTCTCCCTGTCTCTGCTTCTCGCCTCTGCTTCCTTAATCTCTCTCCTATCTCAAAAGAGATTGATTCCAGACACACCTACACTAATCCTGCCACATTAAACTAATAAACAACCCATTTCCAAACGGGACTGTAGCCACAGGCATGGAGGTGAGGGCTGACAGAGCCTGTTTCCGGGACACAGTTCAATCCCCAACTGGTTCCTCTCCAGCTTTCTGCCTCTTCAGGCCTGGCTCAGCCATGGCTCCTGCTGGTGCTGGCCTCAGATTGAAGGGTTCGTCACTCTCCCTTAGGGCGTCCTCACACAGCTCACACGTGTAAATACGCTCTGTTAATATCTCCTCAAACTACCTGACACGAGTGTGAGTTGGTCTGCTCTCCGCCTGGACCCCACTTTCACACGTCATAGAACTCTGACAGTGCACAAACTGCTATGTCACAGGCAAGAACGTGGTAGCCGTGGTGCCCCGCTAAGTGCTAAAGGAACTGAACGGCTGCTGCACCACGACCTCACTTATATGAAATCCATTAGATGCCACACATACTCAGCCAATACCCACTCAGCCAATACCCACCCAGTCAGTCAATACCCAGTTAGCCCATACCCAGTCAGTAAAATACCCAGTCAGCCAAAACACACTCAGCCAATACACATTTAGCCAAATACACTCAAATACACACTCACCCAATACTCACTCAGCCAATACACACTCAAATATACACTCAGCTAATATACACTCAATCAAATACACACTCAGCCAGTACACACTCAGCCAAATATACATGCAAGGCTGAAGGAAAATCCACTATTTACTTTATTCTTGATTTAAAGCCAACATTGAAACCACACTCTCCAGCCATGAACATGCCCTAACAACTCCCCACAGGTAAATGATTATTTTTCACTCTTTAACCCAATGTGTAAATGAAGAAACAATGAGTACGTGTGTGTGTGTGTACGTGCGCGTGTGTGGGTGTGGTCTGGAAGTCTCTGTCTATGTCAGAATGTCCTATCCTCCTGATGAACTCTGTACAGCACTGAAGTTTGGAGTGCATTCTTAAATCTGAATTTACTAAATATGTAAATGGATACAGGGCCACTGGCTTTCTTGCAGTCCAATGCGGAAGCCAGAATCCAAAGGATGGTTATTCATCATCTGGCCAGTGTGCGCTCCCATCTAACACCACCGCATCCCACAAATGCTGGAGTACCCAAGAACTCAGAAGTCACTGGATTGTAGACCCAGGAGATGGACACAACAGTTCAACATATTACAGGAACAGTCTGGGAAGCCCTAGGACTGCTGAGTTGCCGACTGATACCGTGGTGTGCTGCGAGCCACGGACACCCAAGATGGCAGCCTGTGAACGCTGGGCAGAAAGGAAACGCAGCCAGAATGACTCAGGCTGCAGAGAGCGAGTCCAGCTCCCTCCATTCAGTTAACCCTGCCAGGAGAAGCCCACTCCAGAAAAGAGAGTTCAGTATGGGACTACGGAATACTTGTCACAAAATACGTAATGTCTACCAGTCTTCTTTTAATGAAATTCTACCAACTCCATTATGGCTTGAAACTGGACGACGTGATGCCAGCTAGCATACTGGCTGGTAATGGTATTTTTCCAAAGTGAAGAATCGGTTCATCCAGCCCCTTCCTGCTCTAATATCTCTGACCCCAGAATTGGATGCGTCTGTTTGTCTGTCTCTCCCTTGTCTCTCTTACAAACACACACACACACACACACACACAAGCATTCTTATGGGAAAGCTGTAGGTGTCTACATTTCACTAAATAATCCGCAATCCCGAAACAGCACTACAAATGGAAGAAAGAGGTGGACAAGCCCAGTGAAGAAGGGTCATGAGAGAGGAGGGCTGACCTCCTTTTTCCAGCCACGGAAAATGGCTGGCAAGACTCTCTCCCCACCCCTTTTCTTCCTTTTTCCTTCTTTCCTCCTCCCCCTGTCAACCCATTCCATCCATCCTCTTGAAGGACCGAGAGAGGCACTGGAGGAGGTAATACTCGTTATACTGGAGGACTTGGCCTTGAGGCTATGGTGTGACCGTCCAGAGAAGAACTTGCTAACAATGACTGTGACATGATCTATACTTCCCAGGCACTGGGCACAACAGCAAGATAATGAAATTTTGTCCAACTCTCAGTCACCCTCAACACCCCTGCCTCAGGCATGCAAATCTTCCTGGTGTCCTGTATTATCAAAAATGCCATAGTGGCCCACTACCTTATGAGTCAAGTGAATAAATCAGCAAATTAATGGTTAACAAAGGGGAAATATCCTCTTTGCAATAATCTTGCTCTCCACCAATCAAAACGTCCCCTCACTGATGCCTTTACCATGACGTCTTTTCAAAATCTCTATGCAGATTTCTGCAGGCTGAAAAATCTGAACCTGTTGGGGTCAATCACACATGGAGTGTGTAAGTCTAACCCACCTCCTGCCTCCCCTGCCTTTTGCAGGTAGCACTGGGCCATGGGGGGCTGGATAAGAGCCATCCTAAAGGACATGACTGAAATGAATAACACACTGAACCAGAAGTTCCAAGTGTGGACAGCATCTTTTTCCAGGAACTAGGGACAACTTCCCATTTTGCCAATACTCCCTCAGGGGTGAAGTGTCAATTTTAAAGATGAGTAATCATATTCCCCAGAAAGGTGAGTCTATCCCTCTTAAAATGTGCTAGCTCTTCCCACAAAAATGACTGCCTCTTGTGGAAAGTTCTAAAAACACCTCTTCCAGAAAGAGGATCTAGAAAAACAAGATCTTCCAGGAAGGAAGTGGTGTACTAAACACTGGATTCAGTGACAGGACTGAGCTACTCCTAGGGCTCGCCAGGCCTGAGGGAATCGCCCGAGGGGTCCATGGGGCTGCCCCTTACCTTACCGCACTGCTTACACTTCCCGTCCTGCCGCCGCCTGTGCACCCAGTGGTGACGCACAAAATTCTGCAGGAAAACAAAATTGGAATGAATACAGGCATCAGTATTCGTCTCTTAATAGCTCAAGAATGTAAATTTCCCCAACTTATTACCTAAGCCCATGTATACACAAAACAGACATGTGTCCATGTACCAAGAGACCTGCTCCTCCCTGGTAAAATGAAGTTAATTCTCGATTTCCAGATCTGGTGGCACTGTGGTTAAGGCATTGGAGCTGCTAACCAAAAGACTGGTGGCTCGAACCCACCAGCCACTCCATGGGAGAAAGAGGAGGCAGTCAGTTTCTGTGAAGATTTACAGCCTCAGAAACCCTATGGGGGTCACTATGAGTTAAGAGTTGACTCCACGACAGTAGGGTTTTTAGATCTGTCCTATGTGTGGGTACTACCCACTGTCTTCTCTCTCTGTGTTCATTCTTCCCAGTGACAAGCGGCCATTATTAGATAGCTGCCACTCAACTTTCTTACAAGCAAAACACTGTGCAGATTTGAGAACATTCTAGAGGACACTAGGCTGGGAGGAAATGGAGGCAGGGCAGAGAAATATACAGAGAAGTAAGAAGGGAGAGAAGAGACGCTGAAAGGACAATATGCAGCTCTATGTGGCAAATCGTTGTTGAATGCTTTCTACATGGCAGGCAGCCATTGTGCCCGAAGCACTAGTTGGAAAGAATAGGAGGAGTTACATCCTGGGCAGAGATCCCCCAAGTCTGGGCAGAGAAAGTGAAAATCTTTCACTTTAGTAAGTGAAGGAAGAGGAACGCTAAAGAAAAGAAAGGACACAGTCAAGAAATGTGGGTCCATCATGGGGGCCCTGTGATGACATTGTCCTTAAACAGTCCTTGGACACCCTTGACTAGATTAGCTTCAAGGGTACCCTTGTATGGGCTGCATGAAATACAGAGTGTCCCTCTAAATAGACACTCCTGGGACAGTTCCCATCACCATCAGCTCTTAGGATACATTATACGAGAGCAAGTTGTTGATATGTGTTCATTTTTACCCCTTCAAATGATAGATTCAAGTCTTAACTCCTCCCACCCCACACCTGTGAACATGACCTTGTTTAGAAATAGAGTCTCTGAAGAGGGTACCAGTTAAGTTTACATGAGGTCACACTGGAGTAGGGAGGGTCCTGAACCAATATGAATGGCATCCTCATAAGAAAGGAGAAGGGACACAGAGCCAGACAGACACAGAAGAAGGACGGCCACATACACATGAAGGCAGAGACTGGAGTGATGCTGCCACAAACCAAGGAACCCCTGGGACCCCCAGGGGCTGGAGAAGCCGAGGAAGGGTCTCCCTCTAGAGCCTTCAGAGAAAACATGGCCCTGCAGACACCCTGCATTCAGATTTCCAGCCACCAGAACTGTGAGGCAACACATTTCTGTTTGTGAAGCCACTCAGTTTGGGGTACTTTGTTACAGCAGCCCTGGAGACTAATACAGTGAGTGACTTCTGGTAAACATCTGTAACTTAGATATAAATCATTCTTCTTTGACCAACAGACCTAAAGTATATCCTACTATTTTCCCTGGCATTTTTCTGAGAAAGCACACCTTACCTGAAACTAACACCCCTTATAGTCTCTGGCCTTAGTCCATATTTTCTCTTGAAAAGGCCCTTGAATAGATCATAGTCACAGGGGATATCAAGCTCAATTGGCATAATATACTACATAAAAACACTGTTCTACATCCTACTTTGGCGAGTACTGACTGGGATCTTAAAAGCTTGCAAGTGGCCATCTAGATGCAACGAAGGGTCTCTCCTCATCCAGAGCAAAGAAGAATGAAGAAAACCAAAGATGCATAGAAACAATTAGTCCAAGAGACTGGTACATCATGTGATCCTCAGCCTATACTTCTATGAGACCAAAGGAACTTGATGGTGTCCAGCTACCACTGTCAACCACTCAGAGGGGAAATCTATGTAGGAGATCATGGATAGAGTGGAAGAACAATGTGGAACAAAACTCAAAA